CTCTGTGAAGCCTGAAGTCAACTAAAGGGCTAATGATAACCATCAAGACGCCTGACATTTGATATAAATAAATATTTCAAAGATCGAGAAATCAGAAGTAACTATCAGTTCACTCGAAGTGATTTCTCCTAGTACTGCTTATAATTAACCTGGTTTACGATCTTTAGGAACGTTTATTAGCAATATTAAGACCAACGAAAACATTCTAATTAACAGCACACTTTGAAAAATTTTGAACTTAGAAACCACCACGGAAATATAATTTTTAGCATTGGTAACCTTATGAAAGTTGTACATTTTCACCAGTACTCAATACAAATTATAATATTTTTCCATAATTTTAAGCCATTAGTTTGGGAAATTTTTCAAAACCTCCCATACCATACTTCCTATGCAAGTGTCAACTTATTGTCATAATACGTAATATGGTTAAAAATGCTAAAACAAACCATTTCATATATCTCTTTTTAGGGTGTCTTGCTATATCATGGTTTGCAAATATGACTTAAATAGGCCAGCTCCTGACTAAACTTATTCATTAAAAAGCATTTAACTTAGTTTTAAAATCTAAAGCGTAATCTTACCAAGCGGATTATCACAGGAGTTACCAGTCTCTTCTCGAGACAGCGTAGGGGAGACGGAATCTTGACAACTCTGTTCCTTACTCTCCGAACTTCTACACATTCCAATCGATGGAGACCTAGGACCATCTGGTGATTCTCCATGCGGAGCTACCACAAGCATTGGGCTGAAATCTCCCTCTTGGTTATGTACCTGCAAATCCAGACGGGCCCCGTTCTCCTCAAATGCCCGATGGTATCGATCAAAGTTCGAAGAGGCATAGTTGTCTTTAAGTGGTGAATTTTCAATAGGTCTTGTGCTATCAGAACTAGCAGGCAATATGAAAATCTGAAAGGAGGCAAAACATTGCAGTAAAATTGAATTTATAAATGAGGAGCGATTATTTGAAGCTTATTTCGTTTACCTCACGGGTCTTCTGGCTCTCAAGAACAACTCTTTTTTGGAAGGTGTGTCTGTACTTCTTCCCATTAATTATTAGTTCTTCACACACGGTCTCTTCTTGTGTCCTTGGCCTTGAATCGTCAATCCTTTCCAGCTGATTTTTCTTCAAGTCATCTAATGCATTTTCCCCACCCTTTTGAGATAAAGTTTCAACTAAGGACTTGGGTATCAAAACAGATTTTGACTATTGAATATGAGCCTACCTTATGCCATTCAACTTCCGGATCCAGATTGTGCTTTTGATTTTGGAAAAAGGCCTGTTGAAGTTCACTTGTGGCATTGGCAACATCCATTCGCATTTGCTCAATAGAAGGAAGAGGTGGTAAAAAGCATTCATTGTCATTTTGTTGTCTCGCAAGACAATTGGATTTATTGATTGTAGGAGAACTCTCTTCCACCGATATACCGAGTCTTGGTTCCATTTTCTTAAGAGTCGCCACAATAATCTGAAAGGATTCATCAAATTTATCTGAATTATCAAATACAGTCTCCTTCTACTAACAAAACTTTTATAATAGAACAGAGATATTAAAAAATTCTGCTAGTTAATACTATTTCTCTTAGAGTAATCGCTGTCATCGACTTTGAATCATGCTTTGATCACATACGTTGGTTTCAGATCCACGTCATCTGATTTTATACCTCTTTATGCTTCCGGCACTTCATTGAATCTCACAAAATTACGTGCCAATAAATGACTCTCGGTAACTAATAAGAAAGAAATAAGTTAACCTTTCCGCCATTAAGATATGAATGGGGCTATGCAAAAACCGATCAAAAGTTCCTGTGAAAGTTCTCCAAATCGTGAGAGGATAAATGTGTGCATTTTGGCTACACATTTCATTTACACTCCGTGTGTATTTGTGCAATATTAGGCACCAATGTGATTGAGATAAACCTGGTTGAGAAATAAATGCGAATATATCTCATTTATATTTCTTCTGTACATTTTTTGTTCGATAGATAAAAGAGCCACCTCCATCTCTTTGCTTTTGTTTTAATTCAACAATCTAAATCCAAATTTTGGAGGGCTATTTGATATTGCACACCCAGAGGTCGATGTGAAACAGATGCAAAAGCACATAAGTGAAATGCATTATTCGTCAAGGAAGAAATTCTCGATCAGTTTCAGTAGATAAAAAACGACTCAGCATTAGCTTGAATTGGAAGACAATAATTAATTCAATATTTTTTATGAAATCAACAAAAATATACTGAGAAATGGAAAGTAAGTATGGCCAGTTTATTTTACCAGTGTTGACTTTTGCCAAATTTATTCATCTTCTGAAGTTTTGGACTTATGGCTATTATTTTCCTCACGCAGGAACGCTTTGTGCCACAAGATATATCGCCGCGACTTACTTCTTCCAAAGTATGCAAACTACTACTACTTCCGGAATAGTCATTTTGTTGCAAAATATTAGTATTCTCTCATTTATTCCATTTCATTCTGCATTAAATATATTTATAGCTTCGAAATTACGACTTCAATTGGCTAATCAAGGCATAAAATAAATAATAATATAAAGTTTCTCAACTTAGCAAATAAAATTATTAATTAAAAACATTAATTAGTACTTAAATCACAAATAATTAATAAACAAAGTGCAAAATAACCATATATTGAAGCAATAACTTAAAATGTATGGCATGTTTGTTAAGATATTATTGGTTCAGGACAAATACTGAAAAGATTAGGACTCACCGCCAGATGAATTTCTAGTCTGGGATAGAAGCATGAATTGGAGTTGTCGTTACAGGGCCTATCGAGCGTAGTTAGCAATCGTAATCAGTGAATCCAAGTGTGCCCTAGAACACTAAAGGCTAATTCATGCGTTAGCCGAATTGGCCAACGAAATTGCGCTGCCAGAGTGGTAGGACCCAATCAGCATACGACGTGTTTTATAAAACGCGGATTGGTGAATGTACGCCAGCTTGTGAATATCGTTGTGCATAGGAAAATCGTATGTACCTTTATCTCCTACAGCCCACGCGCCAAAGATGTCAGGTGCCGAAAACGGGTTGTGATTATTTGACCTTTACTCGGATTGAGTCTTTGAAAGTACCAAGGCTCGTCTTCCTATTTAGGCAGAACTCTATTCGTGGAAAAATTAATGTCGTGTTTTTAGCTGAGTAATGATAATTTTGCCCAATAGATCTGAAAAGAAGGCATCAATTGGCTTATGATAGATATTGGTTAATTAATACTCCTAAATTGAAATCCTAGTCTTCCTCTATTTAAATACGCTTCCATGTTATTAATCAATATTTCCAAAATATTTCGTCAATAAATATGCAAGTAAGATATAAGCTTGATCTGATATTGACTATGTACTGATTATGTTGCTCGAATAATTTCCAACATATGTTATCATTTAGAAAATCACTCCGTGCTATACGGACCCTTATTTACCATTACCAAATTTTCACGGCACTCCCAATTAGGTACGTATTGCGTATTTCAAACATTGTTCGCAAAACCTGCTATCACTACCATGAACATATCTTCGGTTTCTCATTTTCTTAATGGTCTGTTGAAGTTAGTAGACTAAAGTGGTTACTCATTAGATCATCACCTGCAAATAACATAGTCAGACAACCCTCAGAGTTGGTGTTACTGAAATCAGCTTGGTCCCAACTCCTGCTGGAAATTCAACTTAATTCTCGAACCCCATAATACCTCGTTCTTTGTTGGTTAGCGAGGTTGCCGATTTCCTCAGCCTCACTTGCTCCCGTTATTGGTCATTACCTGTGTCTTGTAACGATGGATGTGAAATCGAGGGGCCCACTGGGAATGACAATCATAAATGAAAACTGGGTTCTTATTTACCTTGGACGAAGAAGCAATGGTAAATGGCAGGCTAAAGAATCAGGGGATAAAATGAAACCCTCCACAGTTTCCACGAGAATTCGTAGAAACAGATATTTTTGGTACCACTTCTCATTGATGACGTCTTATTGATAATTGGGGTTGAAAATCAATAGTAATTCATAGTCATTTCTAGGAAGATTCCAATAACTTATTCTAAGTAGAAATGCTATAGTTTGCTTCTATTGCACTAGTATAAATGGAAAAGAACTCATTTATGTTGTAGGCGGGATTTATTAAAATTTATGAGCCTAAGATTTTCAACTCGAGTTGTGCTCAATATTGGTCAATATTGGAACCTCACCCACTAGTCCTCTGGTAATTAGGCAAAGTGACCATTATTAATCACGCCTGCGGTAATTTTTACCGTAACGCAACGCTGAAATGGAGTC